GAGCACCATTGTGTTCTTTTTAACCAAATCTCTCTCAGAGGGGCGTAGGGGAGGGGCTCCTTATTTTCATCTAAAAGTAACAGACAGAGAAATCAGCACTTTGGAAACAGGGCTGAAGCAGAGGGGATTATGGGTAAATGCTGCAAATGATCTGTTTGGTGTTTAGGAGCCAAACACTTCAGAGACTGTTTGTATATATCTGAGACCTATAATATATTGATGAAAAACAGTATAATAGGGGACCTTTAAAATGTATTATTACAAAATGACCTGTTAGCTGAACCCTGTTCCATTTACGTAGCTAGGCCTACTTCCCATTTCAGCACTCCAGGATCAGCAGTACAGGATGGTATTGGTGGCATATTGACTCCCCCACATTTTATTATTTTTTGATAAACAATGGGTTCTTGATTTCAGGCAGAGACACAATCAGGCTTTTCATTTCCAGACGAGGACTGCCATTCCTTCGGCGGAAATTACTGTCATTAGCAGATCGGTATCAGCTGTATAGCTAGCTAATTAACTAGTCTGTGAGTTGGCTGACAAGTCTTTCTCCAACGTACTTATTGTATATAGTGGACTTGTTTTAAAAAAAAAAGCGTCTCAGAGTTTCAAATATATGCTTCATGGCTACGTGATAAAATGCTACGAATATGCTTATGTTTAGAGCTCTGCCCATTTTTAAGACAGCCCATTATTCTGAAACGCCAAACCCCATTGGCTCAAATGCTTTTGACAGCCTGTTAACCTCAAACGCCCATTGCTCTGAAAATATATAGTTTTGCTGCAACAAAGAAAAGCATGTGGCACTTACTTCTTATTAGCTAGTACTCTTTGTATTGTTGGTTATAATGTGAACAACATAGGTCCAAGCACTGAGCCCTGTGGCACTCCATGGCTAACTTTAGTTTGCATGGAAGATTCATTGTTGACACATACAAACTGAGACCGTTCAGATAGATCTAAGCCTAAAGCAGTTCCCTTTATGCCAACTTAAGTGCTCTAGTCTTTGCAATAGGATGTCATGGTTGATAGTATCAAATGCAGCACTGAGATCAAACAAGACAAGAATAGAGACAAGTCCTTTGTCTGAGGCTATTAGAAGGTCATTCCTCACCTGTCCTGAGGTTGGAGGATTCGGTTATTGCACAAGGCTCTGCTGGTCTCAGACGTTGCTGCGCAGTATTCCCCCCCGTGGGTGCTCTGGAGTACTGCACTCTGAGGAGTTCTTGGCTTTGTCCTTGTTGTTGTTGGGCTCGTTGTCTTTGATGATGTCGTACTGGCGACAAAACAGGACTATCACCCCTGGGAGACAAATGGACATCATAATCAAACCGTGCATAAAAAGAGTGTACTAACAAGCGTCGGTATGTAACGAGGAAAAAATTACGATGGTTTGTCATGTTAAGTTATGGCTAGTTTGGGATACGTACTTATATTTATTTTAATTCGAAAAGCCCCAGAACAAGCAAGTGAGAATGGAAATATTTGCCAATTTTAACAGTAATTAAAGCTAGTATGCTGTAGTACTTTTTCAATAAAAAAAGTGATAAATTCTGACTGATGACATTTGGAAAATCTAAAATGGTTCTCTGTTGAATTATTTTGTCCCCATTTCGGTGAACACAAGGAAAAACCTTATTTCCAGCCCTATCCACCTCAATACAAAGCAACACATGTTCCATTAAGAGATGTAGGAGGTGATTAGGTGTTCTTGTAATTCTCCATTTATTCAACCGTCTTTGAAATGTCAATAAAGCAGACCGAACTGAAGCGAGAGATATGAATAGGGTGAAACACACACACGAAGATATGAACTCGATGAGAAGATAGCCATGTGAGGCCTGCCTTCAGTGAACAAGATTCAAGGGGGAGATAGATGCGAACAGAGATAGATAACAAGCACAGAAAAAAGAAGAAAGAGAATAATTCATGACGGTGGAGAAGCGGGAGGAACGGGCTTCAGTCTGGGCTGTTCTGCTTATATCAGCCTCCATTCATCTGATCGCTACCATACCCAAGGCTAGGATGGGATGTCTCACCGCGATATCCCCCAGAAAGCCTCATGGGCCCAATTAAAACCCAATTCACCTTCTTCATGTTCAGTCCTTTTCATCCCCCTGCCCTCCTTTTCCCTCCAACTCTCTTTGATTCTCAGCTTCTCGTGCTCTCGTGGGTAATAGGCAAAGGGGATCCAGCTTGTTCTTACTGTATCGGGAACATACAGTATTCAGGCCATATTTGTATCTCATTAAACTTTGTTTAGTTGGTTGGAAGATATTTTACACAGCCGTGTGCATCTGGAAAACAGTGCTATGATGCACAAAGGGAGAACTGCAGCACAGATAATGACTGGGAGGCTGGGATAATAAGCAACCTCAGTCCTTTATCTTGATGCAGGATACTGATGCAACAAACAGCTTATTGGAATATCATGATATAAATGTGACTTTACTTTTTTAACCATTTGCACTCTAGATGAAGGTCCCGAATATCTCCTTTGAAAAAAAGTTAAGCTTTTATAAGGATGTTGGTTTTAACAGAAAGTTATCCATCTGACGTCAACATATTTTTCTATCTTACATGTACATAGTTTACTTATTTCATCAATACATTCACAATTGTATCACTAGCACAAATTTTTATTGCACTATTTTACTCTCTTATTTCTTTCTTTAGGTCTACTGTATGTTGCACTGATGGCAGGGGCTGTGAATATGTTTTTGTAGCTCATGACAGACAAACCACACCAATCTTTTGTTCTAGAACGGGTCTTTTGCTTTTGTATGTTGCCTAATGACCACCATAGTTCCAAGAGACGCTGCCCAGATGATGTTGCGCGTAATTGCTAAAGTAGTTTTACGCTAGGAGAAGCCACTGAGTGAGGTGAAGGTCCTGAAAGATACCACGGTTTTGCACTTTGAGGCTTATTAATGCAGTGCTGTAACAGGAGGAGTGAGCCTCGGGGTAAACTGCTACACTGGATCCAACCAAATCCTACACTGTCTCTAACAATTAAAATGTAAAGGCAATTTTATAGACATTTAAAGGTCACCTATTGTGCAAAATCCACTTGTTCATGTCTCTTCTACATCAACATGTGTCCCCTCTTCTTCATGTCTTTTCTACATCAACATGTGTCCCGTCTGTGGAAAGAGACTCTGAAAGTTTCAGGAACAAAGATTCTCTCTCTTTTTGTCCTGATCCATTTCTATAAAAACCTGTCTGAAAATGAGCTGATCAGATTTTGGCCACTTTATGATGTCATAACAATGTTTTGTCTTGTGTAACCAATAGCCAATCAGCAACCAAGGTAACCCCCCCCCCCCTTATCACCCGAATCTCCTCCTAGAGCACCATTGAGTTCTTTGTAACCAAATCTCTCTCAGAGGGGCGTGGGAAGGGGCTCCTTATTTTCATCTAAAGTAACAGAGAATCAACACTTTTGAAACAGGGCTGAAACAGAGGGGATTATGGGTAATGCTGCAATCATCTGTTTGGTGTTTGGAGCCAAACACTTCAGAGACATGATTTGTATATATCTGAGACGTATAATTTATTGATGAAAAACAGTATAATAGGGGACCTTTAAAGATGAAAAAAGCTACTTCAATTTACAAACCTACTATAGCTTTAACCTCAGAACCTAAAATAAAGTGTTAGAACTATTATCAAATTACTTCTCCAATGTAGAAAAAGCGTCTATTACATCCTAAATCTCAAACTGTGATTGCAGTTTCCTCCCGAAAACACTTTTCTGTCTATTTCAAACCGGTTCTGGTCACAAAGCTTTCATCATCATCCTGAAAGCACTTCATGGCACAAACAAACCATCAGACTAAGGCTGAGTTAGTCTCTTCATATAACCTCAATCAGAGAGCTTATTTGCCCCAGAGACAGTGGAGTCATTAAAGGGCTACAAGTGATGAATGTGTGTTGCTAAAGAGGAATATTACCTGCCCACATGATGAGCACCACAACGATGATGATGAGTTCTCCTGCCCTCAGCTGAGCATCCTGACCAACCTCCTCCATTGTCACCTCATCTGGGGAGAAAACAAACACACTCAGAGTCAACAAAGTGTCTCTGAGGATGCTGTGATTTATTGTGCCAGAGAGTGAAAGTGAAATTGCCACCTCTCTGAAACTCTGCAGGGAAAGATAAAAGAATATAGCAGGGTGACAGGAGAGCAGAGAGGTGTTCATTTTCCTTTGTGGCCAGTGTAATTAAAGTTAAGTGAGAGCAGCGGCCTACAGAGACAGAGGGCTGCATCACAAACCCCATCACTCATGTCTGACAGGAAGCTGGCACCAATCACAGGGCTCAAGGTTTGAACACAGTCCGAACCACAACTCTCTGTAGCCTGGTGCTAGCCCAAAAAACCCTAGTCAAAATGAAAATTTCCTGCAGTTGTGAATATGGCATTAACACATAGATAGATAGAACAGATAGATAGATTCCTTTATTGTCACTACACAGAGTACAGCGAAATTCCAAGCATTCCCAATGGTGCAATCACACATAACAGACAGTACAAGTATCATTTGACAATACAAGCTAAAAACTTTTAATATATACTATATAAAGTGACTAAAAATGTGACCTATGCTACATAGAACAGTACGCTTACAGAACAATACAACATTACCATACAAATACAAGAACAAAACAGTCAAGGCAGTACAAAAATGTAAACAAGTCAATAAATAGGTTATTGTACCTGTGTTTATCAGTGCAGTTGTCACTGTCACTTAGGTGTCTTTAGTTGCATTATTAGAGAGGTCTATAGAACCCACTAGTTTAAAGCGGCCTTTTTTACTGTATTTTTCTTACAGCTTGAGTTTTTAGATTGCCACAGCTACTAATATCTCAATGCAATGAAATGACCATTTTGCAGTAATATAAATATAAGAGGGTATAACATTTAGTGAAAAAACATAAATGTAATGTCTAGTATGTCTAGTGTCTGTAATGACTGTATTTCATTCAACATGAGAATCATATTTTCATGGATACAGAGCTCATTAACCATTACTGGCTTAATTGACAAGAAGCTTTTGATAAATGG